CTCCTCCCAATGGGCGCTCGCCCCAGCTTGGGCTCTGCGCCTTGCCGGGCAACGGGGGCGGGGAGGGCGCCTCGGGTGACAGAGTCCAGCCCAGGATGCATGGATGCGGGGCCGAGAGGAGCACCTTTTCCGACGGAGACGTTTTGCTGAGAAGCGCGCGCTTCCGTGCGCTGCAGCGCCCTTCGTCAGAGGCACCCAAGAGCGGCGAGATGGATGCAGGATCGAAATTGGTGGCGATTTCAGAGTTAACTTGAACCGACGGCGGAACCTTCGGTCTGGCCCCAGAATTGTCCTCCGCGAGTTGCTGAGCAGGTCATCCAGTTGCAAACTGTGTTGAATTGCCTTCCCTTTGTGCATCGCGCCTGGGATCAGCTCGAGGGAGAGAAGGAAGAGCCCTTGGAGAGGCATCATAGTCAGAGGCAGCATAGAGCGGCGAGATGGATGTAGGATTTAAATTGGGGAGGGGGGATTGGAGGGCGAGCGTGTTGGATTTGGGGCTGCCGACGAGGGGCAGACTTGCCCTCTGTGTCACCTTTACAGTTCGCAGGACTGGCTGGACCGTCTTGGGGCGGGCAGCTTCCTCCATTCTTCCCTTCCGAGACCCCCGACTTGCTCTCCCTGCATAGTTTTCCGCCTCTCTCCTTGGCTTCTCCACTTAAATATCTTCCGCAGGGTTTATTTGCCAGATTCCGAAGAGCGCAAGTGAGGCTCCCTGACTTATGGTCTCGGCTTCAGGGAGCTGGAACTGATCCCTTCTTTTTTTCATGGGTCTGTTTAAAAACTCCTACTTGGAAGACCTGATAAACCAGGTTAGGGACAGATTGTGGTGAGGAAGATCTTATCTAGGTGGTCACAAAGAGTCAAGACCCTCCTGATGGCACATCATCAATTTAAGAACTGCATATAACTAAAGACCAGGAACAAGCTAAAAAAATTTCTAATGCAATATGATTCTTAAATAGACTTCTCAGAGTAGCAATTTGCATATGTTTTCTACAGGAATTAGGCTTTTCTCCTTTAGCTTTTGAATTTATAATTTAGAAATACATACTATTTTAACATCCAAAGCTCTTTGAAAATCAGATCATTGTTCTTAACACAGGTACACTGATAACAGACAAGTAGAAGTGAACTTTGAATAAAAGTAGTCAAGTTAGTCCTTAAAACCTCCCCACTAAATTTAAACATTTGCTGTAGGAGGCCTTCATCCTGGTGATGGAAGGTCAAGGATGATAGGTCCTTGGTAAATAGGGAACAGGAAAGGCTGGCTGTTCCAAGGGGCTTTGGGTGTAGAATTGCTGTGAAAAGGGAACCCCCCTGCTAAATTATGCATTTGCAGTTTGATTACTCCTCTGGCAGCCATTTTAATTTGTTTTTGTTATTTAAGAGGTATTGTTTTTAATCATCTTATTGGAGGGGGGTTTGTAAGCCACTCAGAGTGTTTATGAATTAAAGCAATGTGTAAGTTCTAATAAGTACATAAACTGCTGGAATAAAAAGGTCTAGATTTGGGGGGCTGCCAAAATCAAAATAAAATAAATAAGGTCTGTAAAGATGATAAATATTGGAATACATGGCAGTGGTAATTTTGCATGGATTGTTTTTTTTAAATTGGGTTCTTCAACTGTAGAATTCTAATCCTGTTATTGAACGGTGATGATCTGGGTGTGAATAACACCCAAGATTATATAATAATATTGCTTGGGATGTTACGTAACCGCAGTATACTTTGTTTGGCTTTAGTTTAGAGAAGTATGTGAACAGAAGAAGTGAATCGTGCCTCCATAGCTTGTTCAACAAGCCATGGCTAAAATGAGGATTTGGTGTGGATTATGAACCCTCTTTGATCTAGAAGAGAGTGCAGTTGTTTCTGCTTTAATTTGTACGCATTTATACGTTATTTTCCAGGCAAGGAGCAGAAAAAGCAATGCAGGACGGGGTTGGAAGCAGTGCCAAAAGAAAAGTGGAGGCAGAAGGAAGACAAACTAATGTCCTTCAAAGTAAGACCATTGGAAGGCTGCTGACTGGAGCAGATCCAGAAGACTTTAAGAAGGAATCAGAGGTGGGGCCACAGCAGAGCGGTGAAACCCATGGGCAGGAGTTTCTGAAGGTAGTTCAGAGCCCTCAGCCTGGATGGAAACATCCACAACTACCTCAGTCCCAAACAAAGGAAAATTTTAATGTTGTTCAGACCCCCCTCTCAGGGGAAGCTGGAGCCAGGCAGGGCCTTAGTGAGAAGATGGGGTCCCACAGCTTGCCGGGTCTCAGGGGAAGATCTCCAGAGGTCTCTGACTCTCCTGTGGAAATGAAGGAGGAGGCTCTGTATGAAGAAGATGGATTTGGTTGGAAGATGGAACAACGGCATTCCTGGGAATTCTGGTTCCAGAATGACAAGGGAACTCAAGAGGTAATTGGGCAAAATATATTGTCATCAGATTCTCAATGTATGAAGAAATACAAGGCATAGAGCAGGAGGTCAGGTCAGTGGATGGCCTTCCTAGTTATTATTGGGCCACTTCCTCTGTTCCTTATTTTCTCGAAAATGAATTGGAAGTCCACAGCTTTTAGAAAGACGCAAGTTGCCCATCCCAGGTATAGATTCTGGAGAAGGTCAGTTGGTACCTGTTCCTAATCCTTCCTCAGGAGAAGCCAAATTGGGGTATGGAACTCTGATTGGATGCCTGAGACTGGGGAGTAGGAATAAATGGAGCTGCGGACATGATATAGATCCTGCCTGGCACTAAATCTGCCCCTAATCATTCATGCCATTTTTAATGTGCAGGTGTGAGTGCTGTTGCTTCTGTGAGCAACATGGCAACTTCCACGCACACAAAAAAGAGTTGTTTAAAAAACTTGAGGTACCCCTTAGGCTTTTAGAAAAATGAGGTCCCTCAAAACAGTCCTGTGGGAGAGAAACTGGACACCTGAAGGAGTATATCCTGAAGGAGAGTATGGCTGGCTGGTAGGAATCTTGAATGACACCATTCAAGTTCCATCAAAATGTTACCTTCATTCAGCATTTTGCTTCAGGCCCGCTGTATGGTTTGTTGAATTTGTGTAGGGCTTGGCATTGTCTAGCTGTAAGCTTGACAAAGAAAGCAAGTTTAGTGTAGCGGTGAAGGCACCAGGCTAGAAACCGGGAGACCCTGAGTTCTAATCCTACCTTGGGCATGAAGCCAGCTGGGTGACCTTGGGCCAGTCACTCCCTCTCAGCCCTAGGAAGGAGAAGGAGGCAAGAGCAAACCACTGCCGAAATCTTGCCAAGAAAACTGCAGGCACTTGTCGTGGCAGTCACCTGGAGTCAACACTGACTTGAAGGTGCCATACATACACATACCAGAAGAACTTGACAAAAATTGTTTTAATCTCCATAAGGCACCAAAAGGGATTATGAGAGCACCATATCTAAGGGTGCTGCAAAGGGATGATTTGAACTGGGGACTTCATTTATGGTTCTGTATATCAGTCATCTCCCACGTGTGTTAGCTCATTTTTATTTTTACAGCAATTCCAGGTACCTGTGTCCATCTTGGGAAAGGATGCCGGAGAATCAAAGAAGATGCAGCCACCTAACCAAACTCACCTAGAAGGTAATGGAAAGTCCACTGTTTCCAATAAGACTTTCTCAGAATTCTTGGATTTCTCGTGTCACCTTGATGCAAAATTAGGAAAGCTGTTGATCCAAAGAAGGGATCGCAGAAGGGGCAAACAAACACAATGGGGTCTTAACACATTATAATTGTTAACTGATGAGGTATTTGTAATCTGCCTCAGTGTTTTGTGTACCTACATATCCATTCTGTCTTCCCCTTCCATTCACCCCCCTCACACCTCAATTTCTGGATCAAAAGCGAGTCATTATGAAATACGTTATCACACAGGAGCATACAGGTAGTCCTCGCTTAATGATGGTAATTGGGTCCAGAATTTCCATCACTAAGTGATGCAGTAGTAAAATGAGACATCATGTGTACTGCATTGCTTAGCAACGGCAATCCCTGCAGTAGTCCCCGTTGCCGTTGTTAAGTGAGGTCCTCCTTGCAACTTCCTGTTGGCTTCCAACAAGCAAAGTCAACGGGCAAGCCGGCAGGTGGGTAGGCGGCTGCTGTGGTGCGAGCACGGCTGGTCTCGGGATGGCTGTTGCTGGGTGCAGGAGGGTGTGCCGGTGGCTGCTGCAGCACTGCTCCAGCATGGTCGGGCAAGTGGTCATACACTACAGGGTGCTGGCAGGAGGGTGCTTCGGGTGAGTATGCACTATGGAGTATGGGGTCCCTGGGATCTTGCACTCCATAGCCAGCTCCTTGGGAGAAAAAGCAGCAGGAGTGGGAGCAACTTACAGGAGCAACTTGCGACCTTCCCTGCCAGCTTCCCCATTGATTTTGCTTGTGCAAAGCCGGCAGGGAAGGTCACAAATGACAATCACATGACCGTGGGACACTGCAACTGTTGTAAGTGCGAGCTAGCTGCCAAGAGCCCGGATTGTGATCACGTGACCTAGAGGGTGCTGCAACAGCCGGAACTTTGAGGACCGGTCGTAAGGCCCCCTTGTTCAGCACTGTTGTAACCTTGAACATTCACTGATTGAGTGGTTGTTAACTGAGGATTACTGGTATGTGCTCCTTATTCTACCTTATCCTAAATTTAGGCGATGCTTTTTTGCACTGTTAACAAAATACCAGTTACGGTTGTGGAAAATATGAATTAAACTTCTTGATTGATTATAACAGTAGTACAGAAGAAGCAGTTCTAACACCCAAACAAAGAAAACTAGTTCCAGCCGTGAAAGCCTTTGACAATACATAAAACTAGTTCTGTTTTCTTAAAATCATGATGCTTTCTTTTCCCCCTCAAATCAGGTAACGGACAAGGGAAGGCAGCCCTGGCAGGAAATATTGAGCTGAAAAGTTTGGAGCATATGGAAAGATTCAAAGAGACATTACAGGAGAAAGCCAAAAGTAATCATTTTCGATTTCATGACAAGGCAGAAACACCTGGACATCAGCAGGGAGGAGAAAATAATTTGGGCGGCAGTCTAGGGCTCGTAGGGAAGCAATCCTCTTTTTGTGAGGAAGGAGACAGTGGCTTGAATGAAGATGCCATTCAGCAGGGGATTAAGCAGATCTTTGATCTCCTTGAGAATCCAAAAATGTCAGTGGCGCAGAAGCCCCACAAATGCTCATATTGTGGGAAAAGCACAAGTTGCAGATCACAGCTGATTATGCATGAGAGGATCCACACCGGAGAAAAACCATACCAGTGTGATGAGTGTGGCAAAAGCTTTGGCCGAAACAGCTCCCTGGTGGTTCACCGAAGGACCCACACTGGAGAGAAACCGTACGAATGCTCTGACTGTGGGAAGGTCTTTCGCTGCAGCTCCCACCTTTTTATACATAAAAGGACCCACACTGGAGAGAAGCCCTACCAGTGCTCTCGATGTGGCAAGAGCTTTAGCGAGCATGCCACCCTGGTGATACACAAGAGAACTCATACTGGGGAGAAACCATTTGATTGTCCAGAGTGCGGGAAAAGCTTCAATACTAGTTCAAATCTCACCAGCCACGTGAAGTTGCACACAGGAGAGAAACCCCACAAATGTTTGCAATGTGGGAAAAGTTTCAGTCGGAATTCTAACCTGGTGATACACCAGAGGACTCACACAGGAGAGAAACCATATGAGTGTCCGGATTGTGGGAAAGGTTTCACAACTAGCTCTAATCTACTAAGTCATGTAAGTTTACACACGGGGGAGAAGCCATTCAGATGCCCGAACTGTGGTCAGCATTTCAGTCACAACTCTACTCTTATTAAACACAAGAGGACACATATAGGTAGTCCTCAAATTACAACCACAATTGGGACTGGAACTTCCATTGTTGAGCAGTGCAGTCGTTAAATGAATTGTGCCTGATTTTACGACCTTTTTGTGGTGGTGGTTAAGTGAATCTGGCCTCCCCCATTGACTTTGATTCTTGGAAGGCCCCTGAGAAGGTCACAAATGGTGATCATGTGACCGCAGGACGCTGCAACCTCTGTAAATACATGCTAGTTGCCAAGCGCCCAAATTTTAATCACATGACTGCGGGGATGCTGCAGTGGTTGTAAGTACGAGGACCGGTTGTAAGTCACTTTTTCCAGCACCATCATAAATTCGAACAGTTGTTAAATAATTGTAAGTCGGGGCCTATCTGTATAGGAAAAAAGACTATCAGTATTCTGATTGCAAGAAAATCTTGATCATCCCCCTAGGATCTTAGAAAATGTCCAAGTTTCTTCCCAGGAGACAAACTATTTTTTGTTTTCATTTTGCTGGATTATCAGCCAAATAGCCAATTTTATTAGATGTAGGAGACTATGAGGGGCCAAACAAGATTCCCAGAAGAGCTTTGTGAAAGCAAAGTAAGAATATGAAAA